TGCGTAACTAATAAGTGACACCAACGACGCGAAGGATCGAATGGTGAACTGGTCTTTTTGCGCCGCTAAATCCAGCTTGGTCACCGTCTTGATCGAATTGCGAACCTGCCGCTGCCCCTCCATCCAGGCAAACTCTTCACCCCAAAACACACAACCTTTTCTTCCTTCGCACAACAGCTCTTCATCCGTCCACGAAGCCACAGTCTCCCGCTCAGGGGAGGTGAGGAGGTTGGCTTGCCGTATCCGGCCAACAATCTGGCGCACCGCCGACACAAATGCCGCTTCCTGACCCTCCGCCGCGGCCACCAAGATGTTGTCGATCATCGTTTCAATAAACACGGGAGTGTCTATGTCGACGATGGTCCACGTAACTGCCTGGCCTACTGCGACGCTCCACCTCGCACCAGTCGGGAGCGTCTTCAGGCGATACATGCCACCATCTCGCGCGCGAAAAACGAACTTGTCCCTGATCTCCTCTGGCAGAGGGATAGCGTCGTAGAACGCCTCGAAGTCGAGCTGGAACATGTATCGGGCGAAGCGGAGACGTTGGCGGCGCTCCAGACGCGATAGGCGGGTGATGGAGGGGAGTTCACTCTTCCGGATGACTCCGTTGAGGTGCGACTCCGTTATCAAGCGGCGGCGGCCCTTCGCCTCGTACACGGTGAACAAGTTCACACCGTGCACCCCATCTGGGAGCGGGTGGCGCACATTCTCGCTGCAGCGCTCAAACTTGCCGCGGGCCACAGCCGCCTCCAAATCCGTCTGCGACAGTTTGACAGTTTTCACCGTGCGCGACGTGCGCAGGAACTGAAATGTTTCGGGTCGCATGTAACGGAACGACTCCGACAAAAAACTGCGAGTCCAGGAGTGGGCGGTGGGCATGCGGAAAAGCGCTTCCGCGTCGAGGGGCGTCGTCTCTTTGAGATGCAGTGGCCAGGCGGACGGTGGTGGAAGCTGCAGCGGTGGTAGCCCTTCACGCCGGCGGATCTCCGCAAGGAGGACGTTGTCGTCAACCCTCAAGTCTCTTGCAGTGGGGGCCTTCCGGCCTAGGTGCTCTGCCTTTGCAAGACCGCAGCAACGTTGTCCTGTGCGGCTACGTCCTCCGCCGTAGCTTGCAGGCCATAGCCCAAGTACCGCCGCAGGCGAACCGTCCACTCGGGGGCAGAATATTCCCCGACGATATCCCGCTGCGCACCCGAGTGCGAGAGGCCATCCGTGCGGTGAACTCGTCGGCGGCGCTTCCGTCGCTTCGCAAGGGGGCCACCAGGAACCTAGCGGCGCAAGGGGTGCCGGAGGCGATCCTGATGCGGATCACCGGTCACACGCGGTTGGAGACCCCGTGATGCGTTGCACCACGCTGGCATCCTCGCGGCTCAAAACTGTCGGGATCGTCTACGGCCCGCGGAACCGGGCACCTTTTCCCCGACGCACCGTCACCTGCATGCGGACCGAACGGGGTGCTACCTCTTCTGCAAAATGAATGTCCTTGACGAGGAGGTTCGTCACATCGCCAGGCCGCGCAGCGCAGGCCCACATCAGCACAAGAAAAGCGTGAGACTCGGGGTCGACGCGGACTGCAGTCAAGACCCGCTTGTACTCCTCCACCGACAACGGCACCGGCGGCTGTGGCTCCGACTCGCGCTCGAAACGTCGGGCTCCAGATATAGCTTGGCGCCACTCCGGTTCCCGGGCCAAGTCCACCGGCCGCGTCTGGTTTGTGTAGAGGGGCAGCTGGAGTAGAGCGACCTGAATGGATACGTAGTGTCGCGCCATCGTCGACCACTTCCAATGGCGTGCGCAGCCCATCCTTCGCACCAGCTCGACCGCCGCCGTGTGCAGCGGGAGCGACAAGAGATCCTGGGGCATCGCGCGCAGGTTCTCCAGCCACGTGCGGTGTTGGATGCGCACCTGCGGGTTCATAGCCGCCCACGCCACCTGAGACACATGAGGGGGCTTTCCGGGATGGATGAACCAATCCCGCGGACAGGCACACCCCTCCGGATGCCTGCCGTTCCAGTTTAAAGGCCCCGCCATCCGTCAGCGCGTCACTCGCGCCGGTTTCCCGACGGGAGTGCCGCAAAGCGTTCCGTCCGCCCTCGCGAAGCTTGGGCACACTCCTCTTCACTATGGGGTACAGCAGCCAATGGGGCCACCGCGTATTCTTGAGGACGTGGATATCCGCTCCAGACGATATTTTTTCTTGATCCGAGCAATGGAGGATGTCCCGCTTCCGGCCAGCATCGATGAGCACGTCTTCGCGCTCGAGGCTTAGCACCATGCGGATGTCCGCTCACGTACCGAGCAGCGTGACCACGATATGGTGACGCGTGAGGTCTCCGCGGCATCTGTCGGCTTGTACGTGCTCCGCGCGCCGTTACACACTGGTTTGCCATCTCCTGGGCCGCGACGACACGTTAATCAGAGGGCCGTTGCTCAGGGTTCCCCGGTGGCCGACCCACATGGGGAAATGGACCGTGCGCTGAACACAGGACTATCAGGAATCGTAAGCGCGCGATACTGACCGTCAGCCACCGAAGCCAATACAGATGCGGACAACATGTAGCCCATACCGTTCACCCGCGCGTGGGGATCGCTCGACTCGTAGGTCGCCTCCCAAGCAACCTCGGCACCACCCGTAAGCGGTGAGTCCGTCGTGGCGGCCGGCTGCAATTTGTTCAGGGCCGTTGGAGGTGGTGGGGTTGCAGGCGCCTGGTGCGGCGCAGGAATGAGGGAGGAAGGCTTCCCGAGGAGGGCCGCGCTGATGTTGCGCAGAAAAACGTCTCTTTTCGGGTGGTTCTGGGCTGCGGCGAAGAGAAAAGTCCGCAGGCGTGCCGGGAGGTCAGCCGCGGGGACGATGGTGATGCCTAAATGATGCGCAAAGAAGTTCGCTGTCATGAAAATGCCACAGTCGTCGCTGTCGCGTGCCTGACGCTGGCAAGGGCAAAATTCCAGCTCTATCGCAGGCCAGATGCGACGGACCCGCTTCCACAAATCTCTGTGAACCGCCCAAGACGGCGCAGAGTCGAAGATCCGGAGAAGCAGTCCCTCGCCTGTTCCATCACAAGACGCACTGGAGAGGATGCCTGCGATCCAGTGGTGGTGGCTAAAGAGGGGGACATACAATGTGCCGTGCGCCATCAGGCGGGCTTCGATCTTCCGCTTGAGGGCAGAGACAGCGGGGTTGGAGAGGGGGTCAAGGACACCACGTGGCGCAAGGTCGGGTAAAGTGCGACACGGGAACGTCTGCCCCGAAGGGAGGTAGCGGCGATACAGGTCATCCAGCTCAACACTGGACGTGCGCCCTTGGCGGAGGTCACCTCCCCACACGACCTCACCGAACGGCGCAGCTGGATGAGCCTCTGGTGGCCCCGCCGGCCCTTTACCGGGGCGGCAGGGCTCCCTCGTTTTTTGGTGGGCGAACGGCGGAGGAGGGTACCGTGTCGGGGGCAGCGCCGCCGCTGTAGTACGCGGTACGGCGAGAGCGCGCGCGGCCAGCGTTGGTGCGGCGTTGCTGCTGGTGTTGCTGCTGCTCCTGGTTCCGCGCAGTAGAGATGAGAGTCTTCAATTTCGACTCTATCTCCTGGTGCCGCTGCGCATCCGAGGCTTGCAGTCCTCCAAGGAAGGCCTCGAGGTCCGACAGATCCACATGGGCCACTACGTTGCCCTCGCCATCACGTACGGGCGCAAGGGATGCCCCACCGGTCAGCGTCTGCTCTTCCGGGGCCAACGAGCAACGGTTGCAATCCGATCCCCCGTGCAAGGCCTCAGCCGGTGTGCCCCTCATTAACAGGGTATACATGTCGTGGCCCTGAACCGGTTACCATATGGCTTCCGGGAAGTCGCACACAGTCGCCGCCTGATGCCGCCGCGCCACGGGTTCCACCAGTTCCAGGGCACGTACGTTGTGGTACAGGGTCGCCAGACCCTCCGGCACAGTGAGGATATAATGCGCGAGGAAGAACGCCGACTTTTTAGCGTCCTCGTCCCAAAGAAACATGGACAAAAGCATGCGCTCGATGGAGCAAAGGCTGTTCTGTCGCGCGCGCTCCAACGCCAAGTTCCGCAGGTGGTCCCAGCACCCTTTCTCTGCGTACTCTTGTTCAATACGAGTAAGGCCCAACTTGGCCTTCACGTACTCCGGAGCCCAGGGGTACATGCGGACGTAGTTCTCCCGCGACATCACACTGACGTCCCAAGAGAGTGTGGAGTCCATGCCACCGGAAAATGTCGTTGCAGCAGCAGTTGTGGGGGTGGTGGGGTTTAGGTACTGGCGGGTAAGGGAGTCCACCAAAGTGACGTACTGTTCACCACCCAGCATACCCGAGTTGCGCAACTCCTCCAGTTGCGTCACCGCTTCACGAAAGGATGCAGCCCTCTCGCTAAGAGGGGCTGCAGGAGGGGGGCGAGTGACTGGAGCTCCCGCCAATGGAGGTGCAGCAGGAGACGTCGCTGCGGGAGTTGCACTCCCTGGCGATGCCGTCGCGCCAACAGACGTGGCCGAGGAAGTTGACGTCGAAATCGGCGGCGTTGGGAGGTTGGAAACCGACATGGAGAATGTGAGACGGAGTATGAACAAGAAAAAACTTTGTCAAGTGACCAAAACGAAAGCGCTAGGCTTCACGAAATGTGTAAAAATATGTAAAAAGGGAGAAAGGGGGGAGAGAGAGTAGATGCATTGGCAGGGAGAAAGGTAGATTCATTCCAACTGACCCGAAGGGATCACACTCGACACGCCTGAATCACTCCAGATTAGGCTTAGAGATGTGACTTTGGAGAAGGTGTAATACAGAATAACAACAGGACGACTATGACCCGATGGGGCTCAGTAAGGTGAAGTGCTCCTTATCCGTTACGTTGCCTCCGACACGTACACACACACACGCACACATGCAGGTATTGATAGGAGAGGACGAGGCTACCGTGAACGCAGATCCTTTCTCTTTTTTCCTCTCTTTTTTTGTTGGCTGTAGAGTTTGTTTGTGTTTGATGATAAGAAGACTTTTTGTTCTGTTCTTGTCTTTACCGTTTATGGGGTGAAGTGCGCAGACGCCCTCGCACGCAGGAGATGAACGCGCACACACGCAAGCGCAGAATACGAAAAGACAACAGTCCAGAAATGGTGCAGTGCCAATAGCAAACAAACACACACAGACGAGTACTTCGGTGAAGAGACACACACATCCAAAGAGAGAGAGAGAGAGAGCGAAAGAAAGAGGCGGCACACACGTGCAGTCACGGGAGGTCAGTGAGGACACAGGGGGAGTGAGCCGCGTGTGTGTGTGTGTGGGTGGGTGTGGGTGCAACAGTTGCATTCCGCAGACAACACAGCACTCGAAAACAAAAACATGTATAATAGTTTCAAGAAATAGTTAAACCAAAAAAAAAAAAGATGAGGAAGGAGAGAAGGAGAGAGGTACGTGTGGGCGTGAGGACAGTCGACGATGAGCGCGGATTCTCCGTGTGCGGCCCTACAAGCTTTGCAGCCGGGCACATCGCGTTTTTCATTCCACCAAGTGCGGCTCCGCACAAGCGAGACTCTGCTCGGGGAAGCAGCTCCCTTTCACAGCGCCGAACACCGTCACTTTATTGAGCCAACCAAACAAACCAAAGAATGCGGCAATACACCTTCGTTTCTGTGGTTGTTCCTGGCGGCTCTCTTCTGCTCTTGTGCTCTACCTGCTGCTTCGCTGTGGCGGTGCAGAGAAGCGAAGGAGCATCACGTGGAGAGCTTGCCTGCACCGTGAACGATGCCGGCGTTTTACGTGCTGCTCGTGTTTTATTTTCCTCTTATCATCATCATCATTGTTGGTTGTTGCTGTGCATCGTCAAGAGATAACACAACAACAACAACAGAAGCATAATAATCATAATAAATAATAACTGGCGGTACAGAACGTTCAACTCACAATTTTGTCTTCTATTTTCTTTTTAAAAGATTATTATTTGAGTTTTGAGGTCTTCACCTTCCAACGACGGGCGACGGGAGAATTCTTTTAGGGGTTTTTTTTTTGAAAGAAGAGAAAAAAAAAAACAAGAACGAGCACCAACTTTGGCGGAGCGAGAAAACAGCAAAGTCAAAAGCAAACAACGAAGTTCGAAATACATACAAACCCACTAATATATATTAGAGATGTATTTGAGAAGGTGCCGGCGAGGGAGGGAGGGAGGGAGGGAGGGAGCGTTGACCCCGACTCAGCGACAACAAACGGCCTCCCACCCTGAGAAAGAAATGAAAAAGAAAGATGCGTCGAGACATCAACGCGGCATCGTCAAACAGCAACAGCGGTAGTCGTAAAGCAACTCAGAAGATACGGGAGAAACACCTTCGCTTTCATCTCTGTCGCTCTCCCTCTCCCTCTCCCTCTCTCGATTTCATAGAGCCGCTTGGGTAGATCAAGAACCGCGAAACAGGAAAGAAAAAAGAGCAGTCGTAAGGCGGGGGGGGGGGGGGTTGTGTGGGGTTGACGAACGGCACGCGAATTCGGGGCAGCTGCGCCGCGGCAGAAACAACAACGGACAACGGACAATTCAAAAAAAAAAGAAGAGAGAAGCGGGGAGGCGGACGGATTGCGCGATGGAGCCCGCCATCGAGTACACAAGCAACAGCAGCAGCAGCAGCAACAACATCATAGAAAAACAAAGAGAGAGAAAGAAGAAGAACAAATACAATTCGGTCCCTCCGTAGGTGGAAAAAGGAGGTGGAAGGGGGCAGAGGAGAGAAATCGTTCAGCGCACGCTGCAATGACACACGCGCAAGAGAGAGAAAGAGAGAAAACAGAATAATAATAAAGGACTCAAAACACAACTCACTTTCTTATTCTCTGCCTTCTATTACTGCTATTATCATCATCATCATTATTAATTCCTTCCCCTTAATTCCGTTTGTGATCCTACTTCAGAAGTTTGCTAGAGATTCTTATCGAAAAGAGATGAGAGAGAGAGGGAAGGAGAGGAGGAGAGAGAGAGAAAAGGGGAAAAAATAACAGTAAAACAAACAAAGAAATCTTTTTTTGGGGTACAATCATAAATAAGGCGAGCAGGCGCGAATAGCCTCCGTACATAACGGAAAAACACACACACGTCCCCTACGTATTATAGGTGATGATAAGTATGAAGAAGGAAGCAATCACAGCAACAACAGCAAAAACAAACAGAAGAAAGATGGAAATAAGGTTTATAACGTCGTAAGAGGCTTGAGAGCAGCGACACGGCAGCTCTTTCTTCGTCACAGTGCTACTTCCTTTGGTCGGTAATGTAAATCCTCTGCTTTTCCTTCATCCTGCGCTCATCGAGAAGAGGGGAGAGGCGCGAGAGGCATGCTTCGCGTGCGCAGGTGGCTCTCACAGGAACAGCTGACTTCTCCGCTCTCTCTCTCTTCCCACTGCCAAAGTCTCACACGTAAACCGCCACGTGTGTGTGTGCGCGTGTGTGAAGAGCGCTCGCGTCGAACAAAAAAAGATAACAAAAAAAATTGTGTAATAACAACGTTAAAACACCGCACGCCTTTGTCAAAAGAATCAGAAAAATGCGGAGATCAGCAACGTATCGAAGCGGCTCCGGCAGGGGGTGTATGAGCGAAATGCGGCGGATTTATCCCCTCTAAAAGAGATGAGACCAACATCAAAACCAAAGCACGTCACCGCTGCACGGCGGCGCCGAACACAAGTCGGGAGGGGAAAAAGTACTATAAAACGGAAATCAAGACAAAGCAGACGGCCCTCCAAAGCGTCAACACGCACAGACACACACACAACTGCACACCATCATCATCATCCACAACAGCAAAACACATACACACACACACACGCACACGCAAGGCTAGTTGCTTCTAATGAAAATCAAAAAAAAGTACAACTTTCGAGTAGAAGTTGAGGAGAACCAGAGCGTGAGTGCCAGAATCCAGCAAAGGAAGGAGAGAAGAAAGGCTGAAGGAGTAAAAACCAGAAGAAGAAACTTAAAGAAGTACCAAAAAAAAAAAAGCGCAAGAAAGGAATACCAAAAAACGAGAGAAGGAAAGGTAAAAGGCCACCACCAACGAGCCAGTCATTTGAGGACGTTGATCCGCAGGCGGGTCCGAGCGCTGCGGAACAAAAGCAGACGAAGACGCAGTCCCTCCCCCCTCCCCCGGCGTATGTATGGCAACGATGACCACACGTGGAGCGAAGGGGCATCTCAAAAACCCGCCAAAAGCAAGAAGAGCAAATTTAGTTCCTTTTTTTATTGGGAGGGAAAGGGGGGACTGCTTTCCAATGCGCACGTAGCTCTCGATTGACCTTTGAAGTTTATTCAGCAATGCGCAATCACACGGTGGTGAAGAACAGATCAGCACAGACAGCGTTTATATATTAGCGCCAGACTCCGTCGGCTGCGTGCATGTGAGGTGTGTGTGTGTGTGTGTGCCTCACTCCCCCCTCTCTTTCCTACGTCAACAAGCATCCCCCGACAGCGGCGTAACAAAAGGCTCCGTGTTCTGCCTTGAAGATATTTTTCCCTTACTTTGGGCGAAGAATTAACACTTTGTATTAAAGAAATGTGTTTGTGAGGGTGAGAGAGGAAATCAGAAGAAAGAAAGAAAGAGAAAAGTCAAGGCGAAGTGGTCGGTGAGACGAAAGGAAGATAACGAAACGAACAAAGCGACCGCAAGAACAGCAAATGGAAGTACGCGACAACAGCATCAGCGACCACAACAAATACGTCCCCCCCCCCACCCTCTGTTGAGTGGAAACCACACAAAAACGAATACCAAAGAAAAAAAGAGATTCAAAGGAAAAACATACAGACACACACACGCAAATATATATATATGTATGTATGTATATGTATATCAACGGGGGAGCGTACGTTTCCCCGAAAAGGCAGCACCAACAACAACAATGTCTACGTTTGCGTACGCTGCGTCAAACACGACAGAAAATAGAAAAATCGAAGAAAGCAAAATAACAGCAACAACACAAAAGCCCCCCTTTTCCCACGTGATGAGACGAGGAGGGGTGGGGGTGAGGCAGAGGAGGAGGAGGAGGAGGGGGGCGGAGGTGTGAACCCGCTTGTGGCAGCGTCACAACGCACCTTGGCATCCCCCCCCAAAAACGGAAAGAGAAAGAAGGGAGAGGAGGAAGAAGAAATAAAGCCAAACAAGCACAAAAATCTTTTAGCCTCCCTCCCCGCATCTTTTTAAAAAACAAGTAAAACGCGTTCTAACGAAAAAAAAAAAAGTTTGCCAGGTGCACGTTTGCGGCAGCGAAGATGACGATCATTCGCCGAAAGGAAAGCCGCACGAGTGCGGGAGTCCGTACGCCGTGCGCTCCGTCGCCGGCTCGCGTACGCCAAGACAGGAAATAAATATGTTTCATACTTACCCTACTTATATATAACAAAAAAGTTTGAGAATCTTTCCGTTCTTAAAAAAATATTTTAGTTCTTCTTGCATTCCGTGCCAAAGACGTAGTCCCAGAACTTAGAGCTGATGCCGTAGCCCCGCTGATCATCCACGTAGTGGTGTGCATGGTGGAACTTCTTCAAGTCCTTGAAGTAGAAGTCGGTGGGGTCGAGGTGGTGGATGAGGAAGTGGATTTCGTCGTAGAGCACGTAGCCGCACACCACGCCGCCCGCCACCACATCGAGGCAGCTGCCGTTCATCAGGTAGTTGTAGGCGTGGTAGATCACTGTACTCGCCACAACGAACATCGCCGGCGGGAAGACGAGCCGGTCGGGGTCCATCGGGATGATGTGATGGATGCCGTGCAGGACCAGGTGCAGCAGCTTGCACGCTGGGTTGTCGAAGAGCGAGGCCGGGATGGCCCGCTCAAAATGGAAAACGACGCGGTGAATGAAGTACTCCATGAACGTCCACAAAAAAAGGCCAAAGAGCCAGAAGGCGGCGACGAAGACGAAGCTGAAGTGACTGCGCTCCACCGCGAGTTGGTACTGCGCGTCGGCGAGCGCGGCGTTGTCGGTTGGGTAGTTGTGGAAGATAAGGTTCCTGTTCGGGTAGTAGAGAAGCGAGTCAAACCGGCTGCTCCACTCCGGGTTGATGTTCGTGTAGTCGCGCATCACGCCGCGCATCGTCCAGAAGAAGCTCAGTGGCAGCCAGAGCACCATCACGACCCAGTACTTGGTGCGCGAGAACATCTCGAAGAAGTCCAGGTCAAACAGTCGGCAGCTGGGGACGTAGATCGGCGTGTTGATGAGGTGCATGTACTGCGGCAGCGTTAAAAACATCGCCTGCCAGCACAGCCCACGATCACGGCGGATGGTGAAGTCCGCGTAGAAGATCTCCTGCTCCGTCATGCGGGGGTAGGCGGTGAGCTCCTCGCGCTGGTAGTTCTCGAACTCACCGTGCTGGCCCGTCATGGCGCTCTCCACACGCTCCACCTTTCCAACGCGGTACTGCAGCAGCATGTTCAGCGCCAAGTTCGTGTGCGCGTGAAAGTTGTACTCGTCGTGGAAGACCACCGTCACGTCCTTGCCGTGGTAGTCCAGCATGATGTCCCCGCCGCCCGGGTGGACGTTGGTGAACTCGGTGACGTCGTAGACGCAGCCCTTGTAGATGTACACGCATGGCGCCGGTGTGCTGGCTTTGCCAAGCTGACGCGCTTCCGCGTCGTACTGCGCGCTGCGGCCATCTGCGTAGGCCTGGAACTCGGCCGTGCTCGGGAACACCATCTCACCGGTTGTCGCGTCCACGGTGAAGTGAGTCTTAAGCGCCTCCGCCGCGGATACGCTGGCGGAGGACGGCGTGGTTGTAGCGGGCATGATCGCAGTAGCAGCAGCAGTAACAGTAGCGGCTGCAGAAGAAGATGGTGATGATGATGATGTGTGATGTGGATGATGGCGCGATTACTCCCCGCACGCAGCTCCAAATCTGAGTTTGCAATGCGTGTGCGTGTGTGTGAGGCGAGAGTGTTTAAAGAACGTGTTTTTGCGTTAGAATGGAGGTTTAAAGAACCAACACCACCACAACGCTGGCGATTCTCGCGGAGGGAGGTTTCAAAAGAAATAAGCTTTCCTTTCTTGTTTTTCCCTTTTAAAAATAGAAACAGCAAAACAACCACAGCGGGAAAACGCAGCCGCCTGAGTAATACTAATTGTGATCGTGAAGTGGTAGAGGCCCGGTGGGTGGTGCGTGGGCGCCGACAGGAGAGAAACCCACAGACAACGGAGTAGAGTGGTCTCGCTGTGCGTACGCGGGACTGCGAAAACAATAATTATAACAACAGTAAACAATAGATGAATAGATCAGATACGTACTTGGTGTAAGTGATGTACAGAATATCGTGCTGGGAAGTCAGCGAAAGATATACACGAATAATGGCAATGGTAAGTGTAGTAAGACGGATAAGAGGAAGGAGGGCAAATCACTGGCGTGCTGCTGTGTGCGGCGGACCGGCACGACGCGCGAAAGACACGCGGAGAGGAAGAGAAAAGAAAGAGAAAAGAGTCGATAAGAGGAACGAACCGTAGCGGGAGCACACAAGCACATCCACCCGTTTGCATTGAGGCAGCCTCCTTTCCGAAGGTTCTTGATTGATCCATCGCGCATCGACAACCCCCTCCCCCCTCCAACAAGACCGTCCTCACGAGCATCAGCTTCCACGCATTTCGTTCTTCTTTTTAGCTATTTACTTTCTTCGAAGCGGCACACATCACAGAGTTGAAAGCCGCGGATCGTCGTGGCAAGGCCCAAGGAAGCATCTGCAAAAGCATCGCCCTTCCTGTTCCTCCCGCCCCTCCTCCACTATTTTTGCCTTATTCCCCCGTCGTCATGTCGCGACAGTGCACACGGCAGTAGTCGCAACACCGAAGGTGCTCCTGCAAGATCGCGTACATCGACTGCAGCTCCCCCAACAACGACGGCGCCTCCACCACCGGCACGCGCTCTGCGCATGACGCGCGATATGCAGCAGCCACGGCCGCCGGTGGGACACACGGCGTGGTCAGGCGATACAGATCTTGCAAAGACCAGCCCTCTGCCCGCTCCACCAAGTAGCGCCGCTTCGGCGTACAGCGCGGCGGCGGCGGCGTCGTCATTGTCGACCATGAAGGACGCAGTGGTGTACCGCGGCTCGCCGTGGCTCCTTCCGCTGCGTCTTCTATCTTACCTTCTTCATCTGCATCATCACCATCCTCTTCTTCCGCGTCGTCCGTTTGTGCGGACTGCAGCGAAGGGGCAGCGCCGAAGCCAGTTGGGGCCTGCACCGGTGACGCGGTCGGCTGCGTAGCGTCATGGACTTGGTGTACAGGAAAGGCTCCACCCTCAGATGGCGCCGCTGCCGCTGCGGACGATGCGGAAGGCTGCAGGAGGATCGCACGCATCTTCTCACTCTGCTGTTCCCGTGGCACCTCCTGTCTCTCGCCACCGTTGATGCGTGAGGAAGTACGGCTGCCGCGATCCACGCCCCAGACGTCCGCCCGATAGCGCGCACACCACCACATCTGGGCGTGCAGGAGGCACATCCGCTTGCGCAGCCGCGACGCTGCCGCCAGGGCGGGCACGCAGGTGTACAGCGCAGGGTGTATGGCCGAGATGTCATACAACAACCCCATCAACGGCGGAGGACAGGAAGGGGGCGGCGTAGCGCTGCTGTGGCGCTGCAGGACGGCGGCTGCGCGTGCCGAGACGGGGTAACGCGTAAAGTCCCAGCGCATGAGCACGTGCGCCGGGATAATAAAAGCATGCTGCGCTGCTGCTTCTCTGGTTGTTCCTGCTGCGACTCCGTGCGATGCCGGCGGAAGCGAAGATGATGCAGCAGCTGCGGCAGAGGTAGCGGAGAAGGAGGTCGGCGGTGGCGCAGCGAAGGGCACGGGCGTCGGCGGGTCCTCGCCAAGCTGCCGCGACATCCACCAGCGGTTGAGGCGATCGGCGGCGTGGGTCACGGCCGCGTACACGGGAGACACATCTCCGCTATTGGTGTCCTCGTTGGTGTTGTTGTCCACAGACCCGGTAGCATCACCTTCGCGGAACCTATGGGGGCCGTTAGTTGCACGAGGGACCACAGTTGATCGCACCTGCCACGCCGCAGGATCGATGACGCGGTCAGCATCCCGCGGCACCGCTGACGTGTCAGGTTTGGCGCAGAAACACGCCGAGCACAGGTACACGCCTTCATACACGCAGAACAGCGCACCCGCGGTGCCGTGCGCCGCAGCGCGAGCGGCGACAGCAGCAGCAGTGGATGACGCGGTGGTTGTCTTTAACCGACTGGTAACGCTGCGCGACGGCGGTGGGCTGATTAGATGGGTGTTCTGTGGTTTGTGGATGGCGCTGCGCAGCGCCAGCAATCCTTGACGCTCGCCTGCCTCGTCGTCCTCCGCGAAAGAAAGCTCTGGATTGTCGCCGTACGAGTCCTCTCTCTCTGTCCTTCTTGCATCGATCAACGCGCGACGACATCGATCGCTGCTGATACGGTTGCTGCCGTGGATGATATGCCGCGCATCTGCACGCCGTGCCTCGCTCGTACTGCGTGGAGTGGCAGGTGTTCTTGCCTCGCCGTTGCTCTGCCTCTCCACGTCGCTGTCGAGGCCGCCGCTGCTGCCGCTGCCGCTGCCGCCGTCACCGTCATCGTCATCGCCCCGTCGACACAAGAGGCAGAGACGACAGCAGCAGCCAGTACGAGAAAGACAGCGTGAAGTACCGCCACCACCACAGCGCACCACGCTGCACAGACCCGTCAGCTTTGCGCAACACCATTCATACGCAGTCACCGTGGGCAGCGGCAATGCGGTGCCGCAGTGCGCGCAGCGACCCCGCTGCGACACCGAAGCCGCCCGCTGCTCCGCCAGCGTCGACGGCACGTCGTGCACCGCGCCAACATCACGGCAGAGAGGTGGGCGATCACGTGGAATGATCGGCGGCGGCGGAGGCGCTGGTGTGGTGAAGGCGGACGCAGCAGAGACCGCCGCACGGCGACCGACATTGGCCGCTTCCCTTGGTAGTTCGTGGGGAGGAGAAACGTGGGGATGCGGCGCACCGGCGGCGGCCGCGGCACGCAGTCCGTGCTCCGACGGAAAACTTAGCTGGCGCTCTACCGGCGGTGCGTGTGGAGCATCGCAGTTGAGGCGCCGTGTCGGGGGTGATTTGGTTGCGACGGGTTCGTTGTTGTACCGGCCGCCGATCGCGTGCTCATCCGCACACCCCCTTGTCTTCGCCATGTTGTCCAACACAACTCCATCGAGTTCTCCTGCGGAGCTGCGGTCTTCACCGTTTGCGTGTCCAGCTGCAACTGAATCAACACGCACAGCCGCCGCCGCCGCCGCCTCCTCGTGTGACCGAGAGCAGCGGTCATCGCTGTTGTTGCTCCTGACGGTTTGCTGTGGTGCTTTGCCGGCTGTCCCCACCATCAGACTAGATTCAACGTTTGATGGCGTCGCCTCCAGCACGACGGAGGCTCTCGTCGTCGCAGGAGGTGCAGCCTCACTGCGCATCCCCTCCACTCCAGCGTTGTCCTCCACAAAAGGGTAGGCATCTAACACGTTCTCTGTCCACTGCGCCAGCCAATGCACGCGGCGCAGTGCACGTGCTGCTGCGTTGCGCTGACGCTGCGCTGCGTCTGCTGTGCGCGACGGCAACAACGACACGGAGGAGGAGGAGGGCAAAGGCTGCTCTTCGGCTGCGTGTGCGTGCGTCAGCTGCCGTTCCACTTCTTCTAGAATCTTTCGTACGGCGAGGTACGCCTCGGCAGGCGAACTTCTCCTCGTCCGCGGGTTTTGCATTGCCGTCGCCGCCGGTGTGTCGTGGCCGCCGAGCTGGTCGGCGTGAGGAGCAGCGTTAGGGGCTTCGTGCACATCTGGTGACGTGTGGAGTTCGGTGGGAGGCTGTGCAGCACCTCGCGCCGCTCCGCTCGCCTCGGCGCCCTGCCTGAGAGACCGGCTGCCGACGGCTGTGTGCCCTTCCGCGTCGCGCTGCTCCATTCGTTTCTCTTTTTGTCGGAGGCGTGTGAGTCAGCCCTGAAAGAAAAATAATAGCTTTTCAGCTGCCGAGACGCGTGTGGAGAGGAAAAGACTGCCAATTACAATAAACAAAACCCCCATAGGTATATATATATATATATATATATGCATGTATCCTGAAGCGTGCGCAACACCACGTCCAACACAACTAATACGAAGGTAAAAGATAAAACACGAAAACCAGGAAACAAAAATAATAATAGGGAGCGAGAGAGTTGCACAGCGCACGCTGAGGCACGGTAGAAGTCGCACACGTAAAGAAAAGGGCGTCTCCTGCTAACACCGCTGTGCAGCGAGCGCCGCTACACGCCCTTCCGTCTCTTTCCTTCGATTGTCAGTTGATTTGCGCAAAGAAGGAAGTAAGAGAAGCGTCGCTGCGGAGTCTTGCGAGGGAGCAACGTTCTCGCTGCATGGACATCAGTGTACTTGCCGTGACACCTTCGCTCATACAATGCGAATGGAAAGGGGGAAGGCGAAGGAGGGAGAGAGAGGGTAAGGTGTTCGAAGGAGCTCCGCGTTCGAGAAACAGGCTTGCAGTGCACGCGACGGCGCGACGCGGTACTTCAGGTCACGTACGACGCAGCATCCGCGTCTATTCCTCTTTAAAAGAAAAAAGAAAGAACATCAACACCGACCCATCCACGACGTTCGGCTTTCGTGCTGAAGATGAAGGAGGAAAGAAACCTAAACATCTGTATGTTTGAAAAAAGAATATAATCCGGAATGTACAGCGGAGGCGCTTTCCACAGCGTTGCCACGCGTGTGTGTATGTGTGTGCCACACAGGGTAAGAAATAAAAATAACAACAACAACAACAAACAACCAGCGAATAATAATGCTAAGAGGAATAACAAAGAACATCTCTAAAGTGCGAGGCCGCCGCACGCATTCTCCCCCATCACCTCGAGAACAACAGCGGCAAAAGAAGAATGGTCGACCGCTACGCTTCCAGGTTGGCACCACAGAGCGAACGCACCGCCTTCTCCAGTTTTCGAAAGGCCTCCAAGCTGCGCTGCTGCACCGCCGGGTCGACCCCCCGCGGCGCCCCGCGCGAGCCGTCGAGTCGGTCCTCCAACGCCCGCAGCATCGCACGCGTTTCTCGCGCCATGTCCGACAGCCCCCCTGCGCCGCTGTCCGTCATCGTCGCATTATTACTTCGGTGGCCTCCCGTTGGGCCCGGCAGGTACCGCGCCAGGGAACGACAGCCCTGCAGGCCGTTGGTTTCCAGGATGTGCCCAAACAAGACATCTCGGTACGCCTCCGTCGCCGCTGCAAGTCGCTCCTGCGTGTCGGCCGCGTCCTCGTCTCTGCCCCGCGCGTGCTGATGCTGATCAACGTCGTCGGGCGGCGCCATGAATATCGCGGAAGGCTGCGGTGGTGGCCGCGGCGGAGGGGAGGCGACGGCCTCGCCGCTGTCTCCCTGTCCCCTCGTGCTCGTCTCCACGTTGTCATTCTCCAGCAGAGGTGCTCGAACGGGTGTGATGGGCGCGGGTGGAAGCTGCGCCGGCGCGGTGTCCGCGCGCTTCGCTTCGTCGTTGCTGTCTTTTTCGAACTGTCCTCCTCCTCCGCCTCTCTCGGCGGCGCGGAGATGCAGCGTCTGCAGCGCGTGCGACTTCGCCTGCAGTTCGTGTGCCACTCGCAGCAGCTGCTGCTCCTTCTTTTTGAGCTGCGCAGCCCGCACCTCCAACTGCGCCTCGCGCGCTGCCACGGAGGCGGCGGCGTCCACCATCGCCATCTCTGGCGGCGTATTCCGCTTGCTCCCCTCTGCGCCGTCCATTTTTTCCGCGAGGATGCGCTCCAACGGACGTGCCCGCTCGCGCAGTTCCACGCCCTCCGCCAGCAGCCGCATCGCCTCTTCCCGCTCGCGGAGTCGGTGGCGCACCTCAGCCAGCAGAAGGGCATCGCTTTGTGGGTTTGAGTTGCGCAGTGCGGGGGAGGACAACGACGACCCGAACTCCCTCGCACCGCCCGCGCCGTCCGAATCGCCGCTACGATCATCGTCGTTTGCTGCTGCTGCGTCTGCTGCTGTGGTGGTGATCGTGCCGGCTGGAGTGCCGTAGACACCGGTGAGTCGTGTCATGAGTGCAGCGGCTTTCTCCGCAGCGTGGTGCAGCTCCTCCTTCGTCGCCTGCACTTCGGACTGCAGTTGCGCTACCTGCGCCTCCAGCTGCTGGCACCTGCGCTCTGATTCTTCGTTTTGCATCGCCGCCGCCTCCGCACGCCCCGCCGCGGCCGTCTGCACCTCGGCGAGGTTCTTTCGAGAGCTCTCGAGCTCCGCGGATGTGCTTTCCCGCTGCTGCTGCAACAACGCGATGTTCCGCCGTCCCTCTTCCACCTTCTCATGCAGTTCCGCGTTCGTCGACTCCGCTTCGTGTAGCGCGGCATCGCGTTGTGCCATCACGGCACAGAGCTCGTCACGTGACGCTGTCTGCTCGGTCTTCCGTGCGATCATCTCCGCCTGGAGAGCTGCTCGCGCCTCATCGCTGTCCTTCTCCGCCGCACCCAGTTTCTCCAGAGCGGTCTTCGCTTGCACCCGCGCTTCTGCAAGCCCAGCTGAGACATCGCCCAACTTGGACGATAGTTCCTTCACCTTCTCACTCGCCAGCATCTCCGCATCTACCACGCTCGACTTCGCCGCATCACGATCCTGAACGGCCAAGTCCCGCTCGAGAGACAACACTTCCATTTCCACCTCTAAACCAGACAGGGTCTTCCGCAACTGAGCCACCTGCGCCGCAAGGCTGTCGCGCTCCTG